TTATTGTGAAATAAAGTAAAACCCTGGAGTAGGTCCGGTTCTGGGCTGGTTCCGATCTTCTGATTGGTAGTTCGAGATTGGGTAGTGTTGTAGTGGCGGGCTGCCAGTAGAAGTAGAACTGATGTTAAGGTCCACTGGAACGGAGTCCAACAGGCTTGCAACTAAAAGATAAAGGTTAGTAGATGCAGGGGGAAAAAGACTAATTGGGGAAATGAATCTGTGGGAATCAGATTCAGGGGTAAGGATAAGTCCGTGATACAGAATGAGCTTGACCTTTAATCCGTGATCCAAAAAACAGTCAGAAGGGAAAGGCAGAGTTCATACCGTGAAGTCAGTTGTTCAGCAGAAGTATCCAGTACGTGATCCAAAAAGAGAGTCAAAAAACAAGAGCATGAGTCGGTACCTGATCAGATGAGCAAAAGCAGACGAGGGCTGAGGCAAAAGCGTGGTCGTGGTCAAGGCAAGGGTCATGAACGTGATGAGTCAATCAATGGAATGCTGGAAAGTCTACTGCTGATGAGACAGGATAGAGAATCTGGCCCAGACTGAGAGGAATGAGTGAGCTTAAGTACTGACTGGACCAGGTGGTGGAGCTGTGGGATAATGAGCGGTGACAGGTGACATGAGTTGAGTGATTACTGAGTGTGCAGCATGACAGAGGAGCTGACAGAGAGCAGAGCTATGACATGTGTATATATATTTTCGTGGTCAAAATTCCTGTAAAGAGGTGCAAGGTGACATGTTCTAGTCTCAGCTGTGTGGAGTTTACATGTTCTCCCCTTGCTTGCAGAGGTTTTGTCTGTTGGTTCTTCAGTTTCAATTCAGTTCAATTCATTATATTTATATAGCACAAAGTCACAACAGAAGTTGTCTCAGGGCACTGAACAAAATCATTCATATACATAAAAAAACCTATTAGTCAAGTTCTGTATCTAAAGAAGCCAGCAGATTGTGTTGAATCTTCACTTCTTCACAGTCTCCTATTCTGAGCAAGCACAGGGGCAACAGTGGAAAGGAAACACTCCCTTTTAACAGGAAGAACCCTCCAGCAGAACCAGGCTCAGGACGAGAGGCCATCTGCTTCGACCAGATGGGGTTTTAGAGAACAGGAAGGAGAAACAAACACAGAACGACAGGCCCAGGTTTAGTTTCTATAGGAGGAAAGACAAAAACTCATGTTAAGGACAAAAATGATTACAAATACAAACAGGCAGAGTAGAGCAAGTAAATACAGCAGCAGAGTGAGGAAATGTGATCAATTTGTCCTCCAGCAGTCTAAGCTTAAGGGATAGCTCAGGAAACCCAAGCCAACCCAGCTATAGGATTTATCAAAAAGGAAAGTCTTAAGCCCAGTCTTAAAACTGAACAATGTGTCAGCTTCACAGATAGAAACTGGAAGTTGGTTCCACACGAGGAGCCTGATAACTAAAATATCTTCCTCCCATTCTGCTACTGGAAGAGAATCCTTCACAATCTAAACAGTTTGTGTTTAGAAGCACTGAACTGCTGTAGCAAAGATGAGCTGACAGGAATGAGACCTTTAGTTTAGTTGTTTTTTATTTTTTATTTATAAGTACTGTAGTTTTAAAGGATTCTTAAATTCTGCTTTGCTTGCTTTGAATTCTTGAAGGAATGCATGTCAGCTGCCATTTTGTACAAATATTTAAAAAACCAAAACATTATCAATGATCTCTTGTGACGTGAGATGTCACTCTCAGCGTCTGTGTTGTGAATTACTCTCAGCTACTACCACATCAATTTTAGCTCATTATCTGTAGAATAAACAGAATATAGCTGTTTATGTGTTGGTTAATGTTGATTCGTGGTGATTGCTTAGAGTGCTGCAGACTGATTGAATAATGACTGAATCTCCTGTTTCATGAAAAACTAATTTATTCTTGAATGGCTCAGTCCTTCGTCTTTCAATCAGTCATTCGTGCAAAGCTACATGTTGTGGCAGATACAAATGCCACAGCTTTGGTCTAAAGCACACACAGCTTTGTGCAAATATGACGAGTAGAGCATAGTAATTATGTTTTCATGTCATTGTCAAATTTTCAATGGCAGGCTTTGTGCAGTCAGTCAAAATGCACAAAACGTTTCAAGCAGTAACACTGTTTTCATAACTTAACCTCACATAACACTATAGTCCTTCATTTATGGGATTAATACATTTAAGATTAATAATTTAAGATTAATACATTTAAGATTAATATACTTTTACAATCACAATGTTTCAAACAACTCACTCCAGATATTTATTCAGTTCACCCAAAACCCCACATTCTGATGCAAAAATTGGGAAATTTAAAGGATTCAATCTCAATTTGGGTCAAAACATACACATAAAAAAAAAAATATCAAAGGTGGTCATCTTTTAAAATGACGTCTATATATATATATATATATATATTTTTTTTTCACAATCCACCATGATTTCTGGAAAACTGATGATGTGGAGATCATTTGTGCTAAATGTCATGCTTGGAAGATAGTTCTGCAGCACTTTTAGCTGTAGATGTGCAGTTTGGTTAAAATCCATGCAGTGGTTCACAGGATGTTTTGCTAACAAACAGAAAGAGTTGTTTCTAAATAGTAATTGATAAAAATAAATAAATTAAAAATTAAAAAAAATTGTTGTGCTATTTGTTAGCACTCTGAATATTTGTTGGTGTCGGTCTCAGCATGGACCACACCAGATTTCAGGGCAGTATCTGTAAAAGAGACAGTTTTAGAGCCTTTTTTGACTTTTGTCAGCTCAGTTGGCTGTGGCAGCCATCTTGGATTGGGTTGAACTCAAAGTCAGTCAGATGAAGTCGCCCATCCAAAAAACAGTTCTTGCAAGTTTCTTTAAAGTTTGCCTGATGGTTCGTGGAAGCAGACACACACACGCCCATACAGACTCAGACAAATGCATTATTGCTCGACTTTTCTTTTGGCAGCAAATGTTAAAAAGTTTGCCACTTTTTTTTAAACACAAACTAATAAATACACAAACAAAAACAAATACTTGTTAGAAAAACTAAAAACCCGTCTTTGTGGTAACAAACTCTCGGAAAGAGCTCACTGATTTGTTTGTCTTAAAATCAATCAAAAGTGTAACAAGTGTTGTATCAGACCTCTGTGCTCAGCTATTAGCCTTTCAGTTTCACAAAAAAATTAAAATAATAAACCCAGATAACTTTTGGCAAACAATATTCAAATTTCCTCAGTTGTATAAAATA